ATTCTTGCTAGTGCATCCCTCTTCTTTCTTCTAAACTTTAACATATTGAGCTCCCCCCCATGCTAGGCAGGGGATGCGGTAGCATAGGGTCTGGGTCAATTAACTGTTACGCATTTTCGTCATGCTATGCATTCATTTTACTACCACAGTAGCATATGCATTATAATTATGCATTTTGCAATTACTTCATCTACGCATAACATCATCATGCATATGCATCACTGAATAAACAGTTATGCGTTCATAACACATTAAAAGAGAAGGAAGACAAGCTAGGAAAGAGAAGGAATGTGGTTCGGCACATGGTAAATTGATGTGGCAAATACATAGAAGTCAGTCACTTACAGCTACTGTTCATTAGATTTTTTTCATCCTTTATTTTTTTTAAGAGTAGAGGATGAAAAAAAAATGGTACATAACGATCGTAATAGGTTGCTTCGCAACCCAAAAAACGTCTTCACAGCCTGTGCCCTTTTTGCGACCCGTTGCACAGATCCACCGGATGGCGGGATGGGCGAGCGACACATCCCCTACGAATACGCGTTCACAGATAAGCTCGTCACAAGGATGTGCGGTCGGCTACGCTTGGCATTCCCATGGTGGAGCTCATGGTGCGACAGCAGCTTCATACTCTCAGTGATACTTCACGGTTACTGGATGCCGTGGGAACTCATCCCCCCGGCGCCGTTCCAACGCGACAATCACGCGGGCGCACAGATCCACGCCCAGTTTACCAAACAGGCTATTAGCGAGCTCCTAGAAAGCGGCGCAGCTGCTCTTGCCCCCGCGGCTCAGATCGTATGCATTAGCCCACTGAACGTGGTGGTCCAAAGAGAGAAATGCCGACTGATCCTCGACCTCCGCCAAGTGAACCTGCACCTGCGCATTCCAAAATTCAAGTACGAAGGGCTCAATCGGGTTGCGGAGATCGCTCGCGTGGGCGACTGGATGTTCTCTATCGACCTAAAGTCTGGGTATCACCACGTGGATATTCACCCATCGTGCTGGAAGTACCTGGGATTTCGATTTGACGGAAAGACATACATATTCCGCTCGCTCCCGTTCGGCCTCGCGACGGCCCCATTCGTTTTTACACAACTGATCAAACAACTCGCTCGGCGCTGGCGAGCCATGGGCATACGGGTCATTCCTTATGTCGACGACATCCTCTTCCTTTGTGACACGGAAGCGAAAGCACGAGCCACATGTCAATCAATCATACATGACCTCAACAAGGCAGGGCTCGTGATCAACTCAAAAAAGTCGCATCTACAACCGACCCAGCAGTTGCGTTTCCTGGGCGTCGAGTTAGACACTGACCGTGGTCAGTTCTCTATCAGCGCTGAACGTCGAGCCTCACTACTCTCCACCCTCCAAGTCCTTTAGAGGGAAGGAAAGGCAGAACGCAAGGTCCCAGTCCGTCACATCGCCAGAGTCACCGGCATGCTGGCATCCATGTCACTGGCTCTTGGGGCGACGACACGAGCGTTCAGTCAAGGCCTGCTGCAGGCAATCCAGCAGGCACCATCATGGAATAGTAAAGTGCTGCTGAACCCTATGGCGATTGAAGAACTGGACTTTTGGCGCCACGAGTTCGACAAATTCAACAGCGCCCCATTTCACGTCCCCAACAGCTACGATGCCGTCATCCATGTGGATGCCAGCGCACACAGTTGGGGAGCGACGTTGGACAAGTTCCAAGGACGGCGTATCGAGGCAAGTGCGGCAATGCCGAAGCATCTGCTAGAGTCATCCAGCACGCAGCGAGAGATAGATGGCGTTCTATGGGCACTCCAAACGTTTTCAGAAAGAATCCGCGACCAGCACGTCCTCGCAAGGACCGATAACCAAGGCATTTTCTTCATCCTTCGGAAAGGTGGTTCAAGGCACACCAACCTTACAGCGACGTGCAAGTCGATCATCCAGACATGCATGACTTTTCGGATTCGGCTCATGGTCGAATGGATCCCGCGCGAACTAAACACACGGGCGGATGAACTCTCCAAGGCGCTCGATCGTGACGACTACTCACTAAAGACACCTTGGTTCCGGCTCATCGAGCGCCGCCTGGGCCCGCACTCAATCGATCTATTCGCAAATGGGAGCAATACCAAGCTACCTCGGTTCTGCTCCAAAACACCGCACCCAGACGCAGCGGCAGTTGACGCATTCTCGATCCCATGGACCTCCGAGCAGGGATACGCATTCCCTCCACCGCACTTAATCCCAGCCGTGCTCCACCACGCGAAACGAACTCGCGCCGCCATCACTCTCGTCACGCCTTACTGGCCTGGCGCAAGTTGGTGGCCCCTACTGCAACCCTCCCCTCCTCAATGGGCCACCTACATTCACACCCACCTCCACCTCACGCACGGTAGCCAGTGCCTGATGGCAGGCAATCACTCCAGCGCCTTCTCCGGCGACGGTTTGCCGTGTAGTCCTATGGTCGCAGTACACGTGTCATTCACCTGCTAACTGCTTTTGCACACGATGCAGGATTGCTGGAAAAACTCAAGCATCGCCTACTAGAGATAACCACGCAAACGCGGGCCGACTCCACAATCCGTACATACGAGCCCTACTGGGTCAAGTTCCGCTCCTTTTGCCAACACCACAAGCTCAAGTTCCTCCCATGCACTGACATGACGCTCGCGCTGTACCTGGTCCACGCCATTCAACACAAGGCTACGGTGTCTGCAATTCAGTTGACATGCTCTGCAGTCAGCTTCGCGCATCGGTCGATCGGGGCATCATGCCCGTCTATCGGTGCATTCACCTCTCAAGTCAGAGATTTTGCGAAGAAGCGATGTCCGCACCCTACCCGGGCCAAAGAACCCGTGTCGCTTCATCAAGTCCATGCGATGGCATCGGAATTTCTACAGTCAGACAACCCTCGCGAATCTCAGAAGGGGCTAATGCCGATCATAATGTACGCCGGGTTTCTGCGCTACTCCGACCTTGCAGTCATCAACTGGCATGAGATTCATTTCGAGCCGGAAGTCATGTGGTTACTAATACCCCGTTCCAAGACGGATCAGGCAGGAGAAGGCACATGGGTCCCGGTAGCGGCAAGCCCTGGCCCCTTTTGCCCAGTTCGGTGCACCAAACGATTCATACACCTAGCACGATATGATCAATCGCAACAAGGTCCACTCATCCGCGTCTTTGGAACAGAGGGTGGGAAAAACGGTGCTGCCAAGTCGCCATCCTACACCACAATCCGCAACTGGTGCAAAGAGGCCTTCAACAGAATCGGTCTTAGTTTCGAGCATCTCGGCACCCACTCTTTTCGGAAAGGCGCAGCAACTGTCGCAGCCAACGCCGGAATATCAGACCGCATCCTGAGGCGACTAGGAAGGTGGAGCAGCGACACCGCCAAGGAGACGTACATCACGCCTGCCGCAGACCAACTGGTGGGGGCTTCGAAGCAAGTTCAAGACCCAGCACGAGCCCTCTCCCCCGCTCAACACGCCACGACAGTGGCGCGCCAACGGCGTCCAACAAGACGCATGTCTCAGAAGACCCATTTGAAATGAGACGATGCCATTGCTACAACAAGAAAGCAAGCTTTCTAAAACATGAATATTTTTAAAAGCTGTAACGCTTTTCAAAATTTTGTATTTTGAAAGCGAAGCGGCTTGTAATGTAGCAATGGTCATCGGCGAACCGCGCTAAACGCCCGTTTTGGAGTACAAAACGTGGGCTGGAGGTCATTTCCCTCCACCCACGTCTTTCATTTTCAAACGGCTTAGCCTAGTTTCCTGCCCACCCACCCCGTAGAACTGGGACCAATTATAGATAGTTGATTGCTTTAGAATAATTGCATGCTAGCTTGGACATGTCTGTACTTTGCCATTTGAAATGAGACGATGCCATTGCTACAACAAGAAAGCAAGCTTTCTAAAATCTTAGAATCTTTGCAACTTATCCTATCCAATTCATCCTTAAGTTATGTCAACATTTCCGCCCTCCTCGCTTGTCTCCAAAACATCTCGCCACTCTTATCCCCCTGGTTAAGTTCACTAAGCGTGTACAACTTGAGCTGCGGGGTATAAGTAGGTGACATATTTGGGCTTAAACATCATTTTTTGGTTGCAAAATGTGTAAAGTTAAGCTTTGAAATGTATCAGTACCCGTTATGATTTCGCATTTGCAGCCTCCAAACCCACACAACCCTCGCCTCGGCATGCTAATTGGCATGTTGTATGCGCTGCGTATTTGCTGTAACCACTTGTGCTTGAAGTTTGCCTGGAATCGCATTCGCTTGCAGTCGAGCCGCGAGTACCGAGCGGAAGGAAGAACAGTAATGTTCTGGAAGGCGGGAGAGAGGCTGCAAGGCCAATTTACAGAATGGCACAGCGAAGGGATGCTGACGAAGGGTCATCGCTGCGAAAAGCCATTGTGGCGAAAAGCCATCCCAGCCCCTCTAAAGCACCAGCCGATCGCTGGGAACCCAGCCACAACAATTCGACTGCACCGAGCTTTTCCTATCCGTTGAGCCGCCATCCTCGCCTCTCTGCTGACCAGTAGAGTTTTGTGATAACTCCCAGCGCTGTGACCAGACCCTTGTGACCGTCAGACGAATATAATAGCTATCGCGCCTGACCACCATTTTCTTCCGAAAGTAGTGCACCATCGTGTGAGATAGGCATGGGTACCATTCGTCAATCCGCAACACTCACAGTGGTCGTTTCGTTTGCCCTTGTGGCCGCCATTTTCGCGACACCATCAGCGGCTCACAACTTCTGCTTCTACGAGTGCTCCGTCTTCGCCAACGCGCCCTCAGACTGCCTTCGCACGTGGTACATCTACAGCGAAACAGACTTCTGCGACTCCGATCACAAATTTGACAGCGTGTTGCGAGTCACAGACCTCGACGGGTTACCCTCTTTCGCTAACTCCTCAGCGTGCGAAGGATTGAGCAGCGCGCAGGTGTACGGTCAGCTGGAGAACACCACGCAGCACGGAAATGGAACACTGGAGGTGCTCGGTGAGAAGGACTATAACGAGGCAGCGTACGACGAGTACGTGGGGTGGATGGGCGCGGGGCGAGAGCAGTCCAAGTGCATCAAGTGGTCGCCCGCCGCGGAGACGTACGGCAGCTGGGTGAGCGACGACGCGGGCGTGCCGGTGTACCTGAGCTGCTGGGAGCGCCTCTCGTGCTCCAACGCCTTCGGCTTCGATGTCTCCGCCGCCGACGCCGACGCCGCGCCCCCGCAGTCGCCGCAGAAGATGCTGCGCGGAAGAGGAAAGACGGACGGCAAGGCTGCCGTTGGATAGACGCGCAGTGGCCCGTGAAGCGATGCGGTAAGGAGGCAGCTGAACAGGCGGTGAGCGCAGCCGTGCCTTCCGCGCCAGCTGGCAGTGAGGCCGCGAGGAATCGCCTGGGTGCCGCCCAGGCGAGCGCTTGGGGCTCGGGGCTCGGGGCTCGAGGCGAGTACAGCGACGTCGAGTGCGCACATCAACTACGCCAGTTCCAGAATAGGCGTGACTATTGTCAAATAGTTTATGAAAAATGTAGTATGGGTTGATAAAAATAATTGGGTTCGCGCTGGCTGTTGTAACAAGAGCAAAGGCCGATTGTTGCGTGTTCCATGATGTAATTCAACAACAGATATCTGCAGCCCGCTGGTCAATGTGGATATGCTAAAAAACGGGAGCCTCTCAACATGACTGCGGAATCCTAAATCTTGTGAGCCTTCCGCACTTCCAAAACTGGCTAACAACATTCCATTCCATTTACCAGACCAGAATTTCTTCATGGGACTACACGGACTGATGCGGCAGTAGTAGTTCTGCAATGAGGTCCACCTGAAGGCCGCATCTCAGCCCAACACGGACCATAGTAAAGCTTGAATTCAATCCCTCCTGGGGGAGGTATCCACTGACAGCTGGCAGACTGGCTAGCTCGTGATGGAAGGAGAGACAAATGGCGGCCAGTGCAAGGATGTGACAGCAGCACGCGCCGTGACTGCCTCATGTTGAAGAACCTATCAGCGCACTCGTGCACTGTCCCTCTCCAATGCAATGCACGCCAGCACGGCAGCCCATGTGAGCACAAGGTTGCTTGGGTCTTCCAGAGGCATGACTCAAGGCTGTTGCTTGGGTGTCTTTCTCGCAGCGCAGGCACTTGAGGGGATATGGAGCGGCCACCCACCCCCCATCCACGCCCAGGCATGTTCGAGTTGAGAGCGTGGAGCAGCCAGGTTGGCGAAGCAGCGCCCAAGAAACCAAGTGGCTAGCGTCCCCAGCAGCCGCGTGGAGGCGTGGCACGCGGATCATGCTGGGTGCGCACGCGAGGAGGGTGGTGGCGGCGGTGGCAGGTGTGCGGTGGGCATGCGGGGGAAGTCGGGCGCCACCTCCATGTGCTGCTCCCCCTGCCCTCCGCCATGCCGTGGTGTGTGGTGGGCGCATGGCATACAAGGGGATGATGGGCGTAAGCACTCATGGGTGCACTCATGGGTGCACGTGGTGCGAGGAAAGGGTGGTTGGGAACAAGGGGAGGGTGGGAGCGAGGGGGGGGGTGAGGAGTACCTGCAGGAGGGCGAGGATGGCAGCGAGCAGCGAGTTGAGCAGCATGACGAGGCAGAACACCTTGCCCGCCACCACCCCACACGCGTAGTACCTGCCGTGCGTGCGCGCAGCATGGCACGGCAGCACGATGTGAGGGGCAGCACGATGTGAGGGCAGCATGGAAATCACGTTCAGTCATGCGGAATCCAGTGAGGCGGATCGGGGAGTGCAGCGAGTGTGAGATGGGAACTCGACGTGCGAGGCACAGCTCAGGCAGAGGCTGAGGAGCGCTCTCGAGTGACAGCAAGCCAGCGAGAGGCGTGAGGGCGGAGGAGGGAGCGGCGGTGCCATGGGCGCACCTGGAGAGGCGGGTGGGCGCACCTGGAGAGGCGGGTGGGCGCACCTGGAGAGGCGGGTGGGCGCACCTGGAGAGGCGGGTGGGCGCACCTGGAGAGGCGGGTGGGCGCACCTGGAGAGGCGGGTGGGCGCACCTGGAGAGGCGGGTGGGCGCACCTGGAGAGGCGGGTGGGCGCACCTGGAGAGGCGGGTGGGCGCACCTGGAGAGGCGGGTGGGCGCACCTGGAGAGGCGGGTGGGCAGGTCATCGAGTGGCATGGCCATGACGCGGTCGTACACGCGCTCCGTGCGCTCCACCATGTCGTGCCAGCTGTACATGCGCGACACCTGCCCGCCCCCCGTCCCCACGCGCGGGTAGTAGTGATGCGGTGCAACCAGGAGATGCGCGTGGTGGAGGGCAGCGGGGTGGGGGACAGCGGGGAGGGGGGCATGAGTGCGGCAGAGAGGCGCAGCACAGAGTGCGGCAGGCAGAACGGGTGCACAAAGCCCATGGCACGGCGTGGGAGCCGCTGATCAGTGAATTCTGAGAGGGTGTTTTGAGAAGCCTCTAGAATGACCATGGGACACGTGGAGGCTGTGGATGGAGTGCAGGGTGCGATGGCGTGCAGGGTGCGATGGAGTGCAGGGTGCGATGGAGTGCGATGGTGGTTGTGAGAACACACGCACCCGTTCGTGCATGGCCTGGGGGTTGACACGTGGCACGATCTGAATGGCCTGCGTGATGGCCTCCACAATGTCCGGCGGGTTGGGGTCCGCCAGCAGCATCATGTCCGGTGGTAGCACCTGGTGGGGGGGGGGAAGGGAGGAGGGGGGAGGGAGGAGGGGGTTGTGGACGGTTGGGACATCCGGGGAGGAGGGAGGGGGGGGGGGGGAGCGGAGGGACGGGAAGATCTATGGGCAGGGAAGGAGCAGAGGGAGGAGAGTGTGGGAAGAAAGGAGGGCAAGGGACGGAAAGAAGTCGCAGAGGAGAGGGCGTAATGGTGGGCACGGCAGGGGAGGCGGAGTAGAGGAGAGAGTAAGGTATGGAAAGGCAAGACGTGAGTGCACTGTCGTTGCAGGCTGCTTCCACACACACACACACACCTTTCACCACCCATGTGCATCCCACCCCAACGACCCATGGGCCCTCACCTCCCCTTCCCTCCCCTCCCTCACTGCACCTCAGCTCACCGGACCGCACCTCACCCCACCTCAGGCACGCCGCCAACACGCGTGGCGACAACGAAGAGACCGCAGCAGGCTGTCAGATTTATATGACATAGCTACTGTAGGCTATAGTGGGGTAGCACATATGGGGTACAGTTTTCTAGGGTTTGCTTTTGTACCCAACTTTCCCTTAGTCAATTCATTCCTCATTTCTTAACATGGTATAGAGCAGGTTCCCTAGTGGGAACGCTTCCTTGGGCCCACCACTGAAACCTTTTTTTCTGACCGGAGCGACAGTCGCTCCTGCCCGAGGCGCGCCTTGTGGGCCGCCCTTCTGTCGAGCTCTCTTAGAGGCCCCTCTCACGGCCCCTCGCGCCACCCTTAGCGGCCCCGTCGCCGCCCCTAGCGGCCCCGTTGCCGCCCTTCCAGGCCCCTTGCGGCCCCTAGCGGCCCCATTGCCGCCCCTACGCGGCCCCGTAGCCGCCCCTAGCGGCCCTGTCGCCGCCCTTAGCGGCCCCGTTGCCGCCTCCCTCCCTACGCGGCCCCGTTGCCGCCCCTACGCGGCCCCGTCGCCGCCCCTAGCGGCCCCGTCGCCGCCCCTACGCGGCCCCGTCGCCGCCCCTAGCGGCCCCGTAGCCGCTCCCCTCCCTACGCGGCCCCGTCGCCGCCCCTACGCGGCCCCATCGCCGCCCCTACGCGGCCCCGTTGCCGCCCCTAGCGGCCCCGTCGCCGCCCCTAGCGGCCCCGTCGCCGCTCCCCTCCCTACGCGGCCCCGTAGCCGCCCCTACGCGGCCCCGTCGCCGCCCTTACACGGCCCCGTCGCCGCCCCTAGCGGCCCCGTCGCCGCTCCCCTCCCTACGCGGCCCCGTCGCCGCCCCTACGCGGCCCCGTCGCCGCCCCTACGCGGCCCCGTCGCCGCCCCTACGCGGCCCCGTCGCCGCCCCTAACGGCCCCGTCGCCTCCTCCCTCCCTACGCGGCCCTGTCGCCGCCCCTACGCGGCCCCGTCGCCGCCCCTACGCGGCCCCGTCGCCGCCCCTAGCGGCCCCGTCGCCGCCTCCCTCCCTACACGGCCCCGTCGCCGCCCCTACGCGGCCTCGTAGCCGCCCCTACGCGGCCCCGTCGCCGCCCCTAGCGGCCCCGTCGCCGCTTCCCTCCCTACGCGGCCCCGTCGCCGCCCCTACGCGGCCTCGTAGCCGCCCCTACGCGGCCCCGTCGCCGCCCCTAGCGGCCCCGTCGCCGCTCCCCGCCCCTAGCGGCCCCGTCGCTGCCCCTACCCGGCCCCGTCGCCGCCCCTAGCGAGCAGCCGAGCCGCCGAGCCGCCCAGCAGCTGAGCCGCCGAGTCGCCCTGCAGCCGAGCCGCCCCTGGAGCAGCCGCCACTGCAGCAGCCGCCCCTGGAGCAGCCGCCACTGCAGCAGCCGCCCCTGGAGCAGCCGCCACTGCAGCAGCCGCCCCCGGAGCAGCCGCCACTGCAGCAGCCGCCCCAGGAGCAGCCGCCACTGCAGCAGCCGCCCCAGGAGCAGCCGCCTCTGGAGCAGTCGCCCCTACAACTGCCGCCCCTGGAGCAGCCACCCCTGCAGCTGCCGCGGAGCTCTCGCTCTACAGTGGTAGCGGCCTCGCCGTTGCCGCCGTCGTACGCCTGCCCTTCTCGCCACTGGTGAGCACTACCCTGCCCGTACTGCTGTTACTGCTGCTCTTACTGCTGCTGCTCTTTCTACTGCTACTGCTGCTCCTGGCGTGGCCAGATGCAGCTCCAGCGTCGCCCGCGTGAGTCCCTCACCCCCCAACAGCTTCGTGCGTGGTACGCTAGTTGGGGTTGTCGGGGTGGCCGTAGTGGGAGTCGTCCTGGAGTGAGTAGTTCCACAGCTGCTTGTAGTGGCCAGGTGCAGCTGCAGCGTCGCCCGCGTGAGTCCCTCACCCCCCAACAGCTTCGTGAGTGGTACGCTAGTTGGGGTTGTCGGGGTGGCCGTAGTGGGAGTCGTCCTGGAGTGAGTAGTTCGGCAGCTGCTTGTAGTGGCCAGGTGCAGCTTCAGCGTCGTCCGCGAGCAGTCCTTTCGCCACAGCAGCTTCGTGAGTGGTACGCTCAGCGTGACGGGTCGCGGGGTACTGCTCGCTGTCCGTACGTCATTCGCACTGGTGCTCGGACTGGTCAGCCTTGCGGGACGTTGGGTCACGCAGAGTCCCGCTGCTTCGCCCGTCTGAGCGACTGGATCCGCGCAGCTCGTCTCCAGCTCAGGCAGAGCTTCGGCTCGGACTTTCCTGTTCTGCGTCTGCACTCTGACAGAGGTGGAGAGTTCTCCTCTGGCCTTCTGCGAGCCTACTGTCGTGCACGAGGCATCCGCCAGACCTTCACGCTTCCGGACTCTCCACAGCAAAATGGGATTGCTGAGCGCCGCATTGGCATGGTCATGGACGTCGCCCGTACGTCCATGATGCATGCGGCTGCCCCCCATTTTCTGTGGCCGTTTGCGGTTCGGTACGCGGCGCATCAGATCAACCTTCACCCCAGGGTCTCCATGCCGGAGACCTCCCCAGCCTTGCTGTGGACGGGGACGGTTGGCGATGCGTCTGCGTTCCGTGTCTGGGGATCTCGGGCGTTTGTCCGCGACTTGTCTGCGGACAAGCTGTCCCCTCGTGCTGCTCCTTGCGTCTTCCTTGGCTTCCCCCCTGACGCGCCAGGGTGGCAGTTCTACCACCCCACCTCTCGCCGTGTTCTGTCCTCCCAGGACGTCACGTTTGACGAGTCGGTCCCCTACTACCGCCTCTTCCCCTACCGCACTCCGTCCCTCCCCCCGCCTCCGCTCTTCCTTGTACCAGGTCCCCCCCCGGTAGACCCCCTCCCCCCTCAGGGTCCTGCCCCTTCAGGTGTGTCCCAGGTAGACGCAGTCGAGCCTGTCGAGGTTACTGGTGACTCTGGTGCTGCTGAGGGTGCTGAGCGTGGGGGTGCTGACTCTGGGGGTGCTGAGCGTGTGGGTGCTACGCCTGGGGGTGCTGAGCCTGAGGGTGCTACTACTGGGGGTCCTGAGCCTGGGGGTGCTGAGCCTGGGGGTGCTACTACTGGGGGTGCTGAGCCTGGGGGTGCTGAGCCTTGGGGTGCTACGCCTGGGGGTGCTGAGCCTGGGGGTGCCACGCCTGGAGGTGCTGAGCTTGGGGGTGCGGAGCCTGAGGGAGCTGGGCCTGCTCGTGTGGCGTCTGGCGGTGCTGAGCCTGGAGGTTCTCCGGGTGCTTCGTCTCGGCGGGAGCCACTCTCTCCACAGGAGCTGCGCGAGTGGTTTGCCCGGCGCTGGAGGCGTGCTGCTGGAGCTGGAGGTTCTTCGGCTGCTGAGGGTGCTGGTGCCGCGGGTCCCGGAGGTGCTCGTCCTGGGAGTACTGGAGCTGCTGGGCCTGCGGGTACGACTGGAGCTGGAGCTGCTGAGGGTGTTGGCGCTGAGGCTACTGCTGCCGGTCCTGGAGGCGGTCCTGCTGGGGGTGCTACTGGTGCTGCTGGAGGTCCTGGAGCTGGAGGTGCTGCTGGCGCTGGTGCTGCCGCTGGGGGTCCTGGTGCTGTCCCTGCTGTGTCTGGAGTCGCCGCGCGGCCTAGGCCGTACTTCGTTCCGCTCCTTCAGCAGGTTCTTGGTCTCCCGCCTTCTACTGGTCCTCCTCCTCCCTTCGAGTGTCCACAGCCTGTCCCGTCACAGTTACAGTTACAGCCGGCCTCCCCACTGCCCGCTCCTTCTCCCTACACTGGTCCTACTGGAGGTCTTGCTGAGCGTCGTGAGCCTGCGTCTCGCCCTGCGTCGCCTGTCCGTGCTGCTCGCCCTAGTGGTCGTGGTTCGCGTCAGCGTCCTCCTCCTGTCCCTGGCACGCACCAGATGTCTCTGCGTCCGTCCACTGCTCCTCTGCGTGCCCCTTTGCCTTCTCCTCCTGAGTCCTCTCTTCCTGCTCTTCCTGACCCGGAGTCGGACTCTCTTCGTGCTGCCAGTCCTACTGTCACGCGTCTCCTTGCTACTGTTGTCACTGACCCTTCCTTTGAGTCCACTGCTGCGTCTGCCCTAGTTACTGAGCTCGTCGACTTTGCTGCTCGCTGTCGTCTAGACTACGCTGCTAGTCTTGTTGCTGAGTCTGAGTCTGTCTGTCCTCCGTCCGTCGGGGGTGAGTGTGCCCTTGGCACGGACGTCCTTGAGGACAGGCAGGAGGAGTTCCAGTGTTTGGCTGCTGCTTCACCTCATCTCGTGTCCGTACTGCTTACCCCTGAGGGAGACCCGGATGCACTTGACATCCCGACTCCGCGCTCTTACGCGGAGGCGATAGAGGGTCCCTACTCCTCTCAGTGGCAGGCAGCTATGGACGCAGAGATGGCTTCCTGGAAGTCCACAGGCACCTACGTTGACGAGGTTCCCCCGCCTGGGGCGAACATCGTCAGTGGCATGTGGATTTTCAGGGTGAAGCGGCCGCCGGGTTCTCCGCCTGTCTTCAAGGCGCGTTACGTGGCTCGTGGCTTCAGTCAGCGGCAGGGAGTTGACTACTTTCAGACCTTCTCTCCCACCCCGAAGATGACCACTCTTCGGGTACTGCTGCACATAGCTGCTCACCGCGACTACGAGCTGCACTCTCTTGACTTCAGCACTGCTTTCTTGCAGGGCAGCCTGCACGAGGAGATCTGGCTGCGTCGCCCACCTGGCTTCACTGGGTCTTTTCCTCCTGGCACCCAGTGGAGCCTCCGGCGGCCAGTCTACGGTCTCCGCCAGGCACCGCGTGAGTGGCACGACACACTGAGGACTACACTTGCGGCTCTTGGGTTTGCTCCCTCTACTGCCGACCCGTCGCTGTTTCTGCGCACCGACACTTCTTTGCCGCCGTTCTACATCCTCGTGTACGTCGACGACCTGGTCTTCGCCACAGCTGACACTGCTGGACTCGCCCACGTGAAGTCCGAGCTGCAGAAGAGACACACGTGCACAGACCTGGGTGAACTGCGCAGCTACCTTGGCTTGCAGATCACCCGGGACAGAGCACGCCGCACCATTACCCTGACTCAGTCACACATGGTGCAGCAGGTCCTTCAGCGCTTCGGCTTCACGTACTCCTCGCCTCAGGCCACTCCTCTGCCTACTCGCCACTCGCTCTCAGCTCTGCCTTTGGATGAGTCCGTAGAGTCGAGTGGCCCGTACCCAGAGCTTGTTGGCTGCCTCATGTACCTGATGACCTGCACACGACCTGACCTTGCATACCCTCTTAGCATTCTCGCACGCTATGTTGCTCCTGGGAGACACAGACCGGAGCACATGGCTGCAGCGAAGAGGGTGTTGCGCTACTTGTGCAGTACGTCGGGCATGGGGCTTGTGCTTGGAGGGCAGAGTCCAGTGGTCCTCACTGGGCACGCAGACGCTTCTTGGGCTGACGACCAGGCTACGCAGCGGTCGTCACAGGGTTACACCTTCAGCCTTGGTTCCGGCTCTGTTTCGTGGCGGGCTACCCGCTCGTCTTCTGTTCTCGGCTCCAGTTGTGAGGCTGAGATCTACGCCGGGGCCATGGCTGCACAGGAGCTTCGCTGGCTCACCTACGTGCTTACTGACCTCGGAGAGCCGCCTCGTTCTCCTCCAGTGCTGTACGTAGACAACAAGGCCATGCTGGCCTTGTGTCGAGAGCAGAGACTGGAGCACAGAACGAAGCACATTGCTCTTCGCTACTTCCTTGCTCGTGAGCTACAGCAGCGTGGTCAGCTACGGCTTGCGTACGTGGCCTCTGAGGCCAACACTGCTGATATCTTCACCAAGGCACTTGCGCCTTGTGATCATCAGCGCTTCTGTACTCAGCTGGGTCTTGTGCCTACCTTGCCTCACTTGCTCACCCCTTGACCTTGTTTGTACTGTTGCATATATATATACACCTGCTCTTGCTTGTCTAGCCTTATATATATATGTAATCCTGCATGTGAACTGGCCTTGTGGCCTTGAACTTGTGCTCAGAATGTGTGGTGACTTTGTGATCCACCCTGAGCTTGCTTTGCTTTGCTTGACTGGTCTTGTGACCCCTTGTTCTCCCCCACTTTGCCTATGGGGGTGTGTCAGATTTATATGACATAGCTACTGTAGGCTATAGTGGGGTAGCACATATGGGGTACAGTTTTCTAGGGTTTGCTTTTGTACCCAACTTTCCCTTAGTCAATTCATTCCTCATTTCTTAACACAGGCGGCCTCGAGGATGGCGATGCAGAAGGCCTCGATGAGCGAGCTGGGGGGGGTGAGAGCGCGCGAGAGAGAGAGAGGCATGGCATGCAGGCTTGAGCAGCGCACAGCAGCGAGATGTGTGAGAACGATGGATGGGAGAAGGCGCAGAAGGAAGTTGCAAAAGGAGGGGAGATGATGGGAGAAGAGACGGACGCGCGTGGGCAAGGCGAGGCACGCACAGAAGCAGCGAACTGTTCAGAAGCGGCGAACTGTTCAGAAGCGGCGAACTGTTCAGAAGCGACGAACTGTTCAGAAGCGGCGAACTGTTCAGAAGCGGCGAACTGTTCAGAAGCGGCGAACTGTTCAGAAGCGGCGAACTGTTCAGAAGCGGCGAACTGTTCAGAAGCGGCGAACTGTTCAGAAGCGGCGAACTGTTCAGAAGCGGCGAACTGTTCAGAAGCGGCGAACTGTTCAGAAGCGGCGAACTGTTCAGAAGCGGCGAACTGTTCAGAAGCGGCGAACTGTTCAGAAGCGGCGAACTGTTCAGAAGCGGCGAACTGTTCAGAAGCGGCGAACTGTTCAGAAGCGGCGAACTGTTCAGAAGCGGCGAACTGTTCAGAAGCGGCGAACTGTTCAGAAGCGGCGAACTGTTCAGAAGCGGCGAACTGTTCAGAAGCGGCGAACTGTTCAGAAGCGGCGAACTGTTCAGAAGCGGCGAACTGTTCAGAAGCGGCGAACTGTTCAGAAGCGGCGAACTGTTCAGAAGCGGCGAACTGTTCAGAAGCGGCGAACTGTTCAGAAGCGGCGAACTGTTCAGAAGCGGCGAACTGTTCAGAAGCGGCGAACTGTTCAGAAGCGGCGAACTGTTCAGAAGCGGCGAACTGTTCAGAAGCGGCGAACTGTTCAGAAGCGGCGAACTGTTCAGAAGCGGCGAACTGTTCAGAAGCGGCGAACTGTTCAGAAGCGGCGAACTGTTCAGAAGCGGCGAACTGTTCAGAAGCGGCGAACTGTTCAGAAGCGGCGAACTGTTCAGAAGCGGCGAACTGTTCAGAAGCGGCGAACTGTTCAGAAGCGGCGAACTGTTCAGAAGCGGCGAACTGTTCAGAAGCGGCGAACTGTTCAGAAGCGGCGAACTGTTCAGAAGCGGCGAACTGTTCAGAAGCGGCGAACTGTTCAGAAGCGGCGAACTGTTCAGAAGCGGCGAACTGTTCAGAAGCGGCGAACTGTTCAGAAGCGGCGAACTGTTCAGAAGCGGCGAACTGTTCAGAAGCGGCGAACTGTTCAGAAGCGGCGAACTGTTCAGAAGCGGCGAACTGTTCAGAAGCGGCGAACTGTTCAGAAGCGGCGAACTGTTCAGAAGCGGCGAACTGTTCAGAAGCGGCGAACTGTTCAGAAGCGGCGAACTGTTCAGAAGCGGCGAACTGTTCAGAAGCGGCGAACTGTTCAGAAGCGGCGAACTGTTCAGAAGCGGCGAACTGTTCAGAAGCGGCGAACTGTTCAGAAGCGGCGAACTGTTCAGAAGCGGCGAACTGTTCAGAAGCGGCGAACTGTTCAGAAGCGGCGAACTGTTCAGAAGCGGCGAACTGTTCAGAAGCGGCGAACTGTTCAGAAGCGGCGAACTGTTCAGAAGCGGCGAACTGTTCAGAAGCGGCGAACTGTTCAGAAGCGGCGAACTGTTCAGAAGCGGCGAACTGTTCAGAAGCGGCGAACTGTTCAGAAGCGGCGAACTGTTCAGAAGCGGCGAACTGTTCAGAAGCGGCGAACTGTTCAGAAGCGGCGAACTGTTCAGAAGCGGCGAACTGTTCAGAAGCGGCGAACTGTTCAGAAGCGGCGAACTGTTCAGAAGCGGCGAACTGTTCAGAAGCGGCGAACTGTTCAGAAGCGGCGAACTGTTCAGAAGCGGCGAACTGTTCAGAAGCGGCGAACTGTTCAGAAGCGGCGAACTGTTCAGAAGCGGCGAACTATTCAGAAGCGGCGAACTGTTCAGAAGCGGCGAACTGTTCAGAAGCGGCGAACTGTTCAGAAGCGGCGAACTGTTCAGAAGCGGCGAACTGTTCAGAAGCGGCGAACTGTTCAGAAGCAGCGAACTGTTCAGAAGCGGCGAACTGTTCAGAGAGTTGTGCGGTGCGAAGTGGATGGGGAGCGAGGCGGGGGAGAGGCGACAAGGGTGAGATGAGGGAGGAGTGGTGAAAGCGAGGAAAGAGAGGACAAGCAGTGTGGTGTTGGATTGGAGAGTAGGAGGATAGTGCCGACGCAATGTGGTGCGCCTGGGCCGTCTAATGAGGGCGTGGCGCTTACATGCTCCTTCATGTGAGCAGCACTGGCTGCACGGCACGCGGACGAGCATAAGGGGCGATGAGGAGGGAGGGAGGGACGGAGGGAGGGACGGACGGACGGAGGCGAGGGGAGGGGAGGAGGGGCGTGCAGTGTGACCTGTTGAGGAAGATGTGGCCCTGGATGAGCACCTCGCACACTTGGCTGTGCGGCACGGCGCCCAGCATGGTGACGCGGTGGTGCAGCCCGTGGCGGTCCCTCATCTCCTCCAGCCGCCCCCTCTTGGCGCCGTCGCCGCCTATTATCCACCACACCTGGTGGCATGGGGCATGCCACGCCACAACAACGCACGGGCCCGGCCAGTGCGCATCAACATACAGAGACCCACATGGCATGCACACATACACGCACCCCCACCCCCACCCCCACCCTCCACCCCATCCCCACCTCACACGCCCCCACGCTCGCCCGCACATGCAACAAACATACACGCACACAGACAATGCATGGTCCAGAGAATGTAATGCACCATAGCAGCACGGTGACTGCACCATAGCAGCACGGTGACTGCACCATAGCAGCACGGTGACTGCACCATAGCAGCACGGTGACTGCACCAGCAGCACGGTGACTGCACCATAGCAGCACGGTGACTGCACCAGCAGCACGGTGACTGCATCCAAGCGGGTGGGCTACTGCGCACGAGCATCACCAGTGGCACGCGCTCGCACCGTGGGGAAGCGCACACTTGCACCTTGGGGAAGCGGTGGCAGACGGCGGGGATGACGTCAACGAGCAGGTCAGCGCCCTTGCGGTACACGAGGCGGCTGATCACCACTATCACCACCTCCATCTCCATCTCCCCGCCCGCCCCCCCCCTCGTCTCCATGCCCGCCCCTGCCCTCATCTCCATACCAGCCCCCATGGCGCTCTCCGTGCTGCTGCCACGTCCCTGCCTGCCACGTCCCTGCCTGCCTCCACTGCCATGCTGCTCTGCCCCCCTGCTCCTCCCCCCCCCACCCTCCCCCCCACCTCAGCCGCTGGAGGGTGTGCCGTGCTGGCTGCTGTCTCCGCCTCCGCCCCTTCTCTGCTCCACGCTCCTTCCCTTGCCCCTCCCTCCTCTTCTCTCCCCCCAGCCCCGTCTTCTGCTCCTCCCCCATCCGCTGCACGTGCTGCTGCCTCACTGCCTGCAGCCCTGCACGCCACTGCACCCTCCCCATCCTCCATACCCCTTTCCGCGCCCCACACTGTTTCTCTCCCTCCTGCCGCCTCGTTCCGCGCGCCAACAGCGGCAACAGCTTCCCCAGCAGCAGCCACAGCGCGGGCAGCAGGGGCAGCAAGGGCGGGGGGGGCCGGGGGGCAGCGGGTGGGGTCGGGGAGGAAGTTGTTGGCGTCGACGGCGTTGGGGATGACGGCCACGCGGTGGGGGGGCAGTGAGGGCGCGGCGCGCAGCACGGTGTTCTCCTTGCTCGTGTGCGACACACAGATGGCCACGTGGATGCCCGCCGTCGAGAACTGCAGCAGCTGTGGTGTGGGGGGGGGGGGAAGGGAGGGTGGAAGGAGAGAGGGGAGGCAGGAGGCAAAGGCGGAGGTTGTGCGGTGCAAGATCTGTGGGGGAACCCAATCCAATCCACTGGACTGGACTACAGGGCGTTCCAACGAGTAGATGGCGGCTGATGCATGACACGGCACGGCTCCTCGTGCATCTCACCACCCGCCCACCCACCCATCCACCCACCCACTTACACACCCACGCATCCACCGGCCCACCACCCACCCATGCATCCCCCCCACTCCAACCCCCCCTCGGAGTACCTTGTTCATGTGGATGCTGGCGGCGCACCTTGTTCATGTGGATGCTGGCGGCGCACCTTGTTCATGTGGATGCTGGCGGCGCACCTTGTTCATGTGGATGCTGGCGGCGCACCTTGTTCATGTGGATGCTGGCGGCGTCAGCGAAGCCGCACAGCGAGTGGTCGGTGAAGACGGCGCGGCTGGCGAACGTGGGCGCGTGCAGCAGCGCGTCGTGGCACATGGGGGCGAAGCTCTGGTGCGCGTGCACGATGGCGATGCGCTCGCGCTCCACCACCGCGCGGAACAACGGCAGCGGCAGACAGGGCAGCGGCGAAGGGGGCGTTGCCTGCCGTGGAATTGGGGAGGGGGAAGAGGGGGGGAGGGACGGGTAACGAGGGGAAAGGGGGTCAGGGTGGGTAGATGGAGGCAAGGCAAGGAATGGAATTGTAGATGCGTGCAGTGGTGGATGTGCAGGAGAGGCGTGTTCTATCCTATGATCACACGAGTGAGGAGAGACAGGCAGCCGAGGTGACCTGAAGCACATGGGACCACGGGCAAAGGGTCGATCCGGTGGGAAGGCGAAGGATGGATGGCGGATGGGGAATGGAGGATTGAGGACGGGGAGGGATAAGGGACAAGTGACGTCATCTCCTCAATGTGCATACAAGTCCAACACCCACCTGCAGCCACACGGGGCGGCGCGGTGCGTAGTAGACCTTGAGGCCGTTGGTGAGGTAGCGCACTCCCACTCGGTCGCCGTACGCGTGCGTCAGCACCACCACGTGCAGCACAGCATGGAAGGGCATGGCAGCGCAGCGCAGGGCAGGACAGGGCAGGGCAGGGCAGGGCAGGGCAGGGCAGGGCGCGCGGGGTTTGGGGGGCGTGGGCAAGCCCGTGTGAGACGACCTCATCCAACTCCGTCCCCCACGTGCGCCTCTCACTATCGCGCCTCACAGCAACCGCCTTCCAGTCCGCGCCCTACACCCGCCAGCCCTCCCACCCACTCGCTACGCACGATGCTGCCACGTGAGACTCGAGACCTAATCGCTGTGTGACCTGGGCGCGTGGCGACGTCACCTTGTGGCCGCGCTGCAGCAGGCACTGCGCGAGCAGGTAGATGTGGCTCTCCACGCCGCCGAAGTTGGGGAAGAAGAAGTCGCACACCATCAGCACGCGATGTCGCCTACGACCGCATGCGACATCCGGATCGTCGTCGGGGACCAATGGTACGCTGCTATCACTCACGAAACTGCTCTCCGCCATTCGCCTTGGCGACTAAATCCGGCTACGACTCGCGACTAGTTTTGCCTACGACCCACCTAATACTGGGGACCTGGGAGAGGTCAGCGAATGCGAGTAGGTCCGTAGCTTGGAGCCACGCTGGAGGGGTATTGTGAGTGATGAACGTTGTGAAGGCTGAAAAATGTCGCATCGAAACAGGAGGTTGGACCCAGCCTCGTCTGCAACGGTGACTGTTTGGCGGCAACCTATGGAAAATATGTCCTTACTCAATCTGAGGTGTAGAGGATTTAACTGTAGAAATAAAGCTACTATAGAAAACCATTTCAGACAGGCTCAGCCAATGTGGTGCCACGAAGACGTCTAGATTTCGCTAGTGGAACGTTTCCCACCAAAATCTCAATCAATCATGGCCCGAGCAGAGTCAGCAAACGAGCCGCCATGAATTCACAGCCTGTTCCATGCCCCAGCTGACGCAACAAACGAGGGACAACTTCATCTGCAATCTAATTAAGCCAGCGCGGTTCGCAAATGCGATCCCTAACAGTCCGCCTGGAAGAAGCTGACGAGTCGTTATCTGCCCGCGGTCAGAAAAAAATAAACCCCTAATGGGTGGCATGCGACTAGGGCGTGTAAAGTCCCCGCAAATTTGCGAAATCTGCTTTTGGCCGGTTTTACGTCGACGACATTTCTTTCGCGAAAGTCGACGGATTGGTCGACTTCGTGTCGTCACATTTACAGCCACTATTTGCAGATTTGCAAACTTTACAGGTTTGAGGGCCGAATTTCAGGCCGGTTTCAAAAAGTTGTAAAATTTGCAGTTGCTACAGTAGGAACGTATGTGCGACGGGGTCGTACATTTGATGGCGAACACTCTGATTGGACAAGATAAAAAAATTCAATCGTTCTGCGAGACCGTGCGACGTCGTACGTGACAGTCGCTCACGGTGTCGACTACTTGGCCGAATTGGAGTCGACATGGTGTCGGATACGAGTCGACTTTCAAAACGGCCTCAATTTCGTTTTTTATTGGCGAAATTAACGACGGTCGCGAGCGTCTTCGATTTTTTCTCAAACGGGTTACTTTCGCCAATTCGGCCATTTGGCTAGTGGCCGAATTTTTAGGTGCGGCGATTTTACACGCCCTTAGGGGAGCCCCAACCCTAAACACGGGGAGCCCCAACCCTAAACACGGGCAGCCGCGTCGTTCTGCCCAAAAAGATTGCATTTGCAAACCCGCACTGGGAAAATGAGATCGCAGTTCGAATTGTCCGCAACAAACGACATTTCCCAAGGAGGGCTGAAGCAAAGCAGGGAGCGGAGGAGGATTCGCAGCAGAGGAGCAATCCAGGTTTGAGGTTCGCTCGAGTGTCGAGTACGCAGCAGCCAACTGGAAAGCTTTCAGCAAGGAGCAAGCTCGAGTGCTTTCGGCATTCTCAGTGTTCCACGGCAGCAAGCTTCCAACAACCCATGGCGTGCTGGCGCGCCCGGGCATGGAGCACCCACCTCTCTGGGGGCCTCTGCCACCCTCCTCCTGTGGTTGGGCACCGTGCCCTCTTGTGCGACCCTTTTAACTCGCCCTTCTTGCTCACAGCGTTGTGATCGCAACCCAAGCGCACCCAACACGCACCTAACGGACCGTTGGAGCCCGAGAGGCTCTCCGTCCCCTCCTCCACTGCACGCTCACCGCCGCACGGCTGAGACGCGTCGATACCGCGTCACCTCCTTAACTCGCATCGCACTCTCTCCGCCACGCATCTCGCGTTGCCATGGAGCTCTCGCAGGCCTCGGGTGCCGCCACGTGCACGGCCGTCGTGGTGACGTCAGCGCTCGTCGCCGCAGGAGTCGCCGCGTTCTCCAGCGGGGCGCTCTCGCGCACCGCGGCGGGCGTGTCTGCGGGCGCGGGGAAGGAGGCTACTAATTCCCGTTCCGACGCGGCTTCCGCGAAAGCGTCGAAGGCGATGGACGGCGTTGTGGCGTGGCTGCCCGCGGAGATCGCGACGTCGCTCGACGACTTCCCCTTCTTCCTCAAGTGGGCCTCTTTCCGCTCGTGCCATTCGCGGGTGATTTATTTGCTAAGCAAGTTATTGAATCTGACTCACGGTCGTGTCTCGCCGCGCAGCAAGAAGACGCGCGAGCTGCTCACGGCGTCGGCCGGGAGGACGTTCCTTCGCGAGGGCGCTTCCAAGCGGTCCCACTCCATCACCGTGCGAGGCCCCGAAGGTACCCCTTCAACTCGCCGCAGATCGGAGCCTTTTATGTGCTTCTCGTGTGCTTCTACTTTATCTTGTGTCATTTCGACCGCGTGAACGGCGAGTGCCTGACGAGCAGCGGGTGTGCGGTGCTGTGCGGTGTGCAGGGTCGGTGCGGTACCAGGCGGAGCTGTGCAAGGGGCTGGCCAAGAAGTTCGACGCCGCCCTGTTCCTCCTCGACGCCTCCTTCGTGCACCTGCTCTCGCAGGTATGGGTTCGGTTCGTTCTTGCAACGCCATTGTCTAGGCTTATTTTTACGCATGAAGTTGCAAGTCTGATCGTCCGTGTGTGTGTGGCAGAGCTCGTACTGGCGGGGTGCGTCGAGCAGTCGTAGCAAGCCCACGATCTGGACTGGAGGTGAGCATTCCGCTGCTGCATCACCTTTTGGATGGTCGCTACACCAGTACTATGTGCTGGAAAATTGCCGTGTTTGACGCTCACGCGTGACATGGAATCTCCTCGTTGTCATGGCAGGATCGGGCTTCGCCTATTTCACGGAGAAAGGGGACGCAGCTGCCACGCTGCAGGTGAGCTACAAGTCACCTCATCCAGCCTTTATTGTCGATTCGTCCGAGACAGCTGTTGGAAAAGTAAAACATTAATAACGTCTCTTTTTTACATTCTTCTGCAGGCCATCTCCAAGGCCTCTCGTGCGCTCCCAGTGATCTGCCTGGTGGCGAGCGCGGATGGCTGTGCGGCAGCGCTGGCCCAGACCCTGGCGAAGCGGGTGGAGGGTCCGCATGGCGTGCTCGTCGTTGCCTCCTGCACTGCTGGCTGCGAGGTGAGCCGCGGAGATCCGTCTACCTGCCTGCTTTCGACCTGCTTTCAGGAGCTGTTGATTGCTCGTTCATGGATACGTGTGGCAACCAGCTCGCTCACCCATGCATGCGCGTTGATCTGCACAGGACGTGCATGCAGCATCTTACTCCGACGTGGAAGTGCGCGCTCCCAAGGTACGCCAGGCAGGCAGCTGAATGAGTTTTTCCATCATCGGCCCGACAATGTCTCAGTGCACGCTGACAAGTGGGTGTGGTGATGTTGGTTGCAGGAGAGTGAGAAGGTGCGGGCGTGGGAGGCGATGCTCAAGGAGCAGAGTCACTACATGGTGTGCGAGCGGAACCTGCAGGCCATCTTCCTGGTGCGTGCGGGGATTGAAGGGTACTGGTAGTGGTGCTCTTACAAGTAGCCTCACGGTGCCACACCGTTTCTGAATGCAGGTGCTGAAGGCGCGCAAGGTGACGTGGGACGAGGACGTTGCAGATGCGCGGTTCAACTTCACGGCCTCCCTCACTGCTGATGGTACGCCACGCTGCACTGCCTCACATGCTCTCGCATGTGCCACTTGCCGCAGTCACGAGTGAGGTCCTTGCGTTGGTTCTGACGTGTGCTTGGTGTGTGCTTGGTGTGTGTGCGAGGGTGTGCAGAGGTGGAGGACATCATCAACATGGCCCTGTCGGAGCAGATGCTTGCCGGACGCACCAACGCACAGCTGCACGTCACACGCGACAGGTGCGCTCCTCCTTGCCCCACGCGGTTCATGGGGCTCATCCGTGGCACGGCGCTCACCGCGCTCACGGCATGTGGTGTCAATCGAATGCGTGCAGGCTGGAGTACTCGCTGAGTCTCTTCTTCGATGAGGACGGTGCTTGCCATGAGAAGACAGCCGTCACCAATGGCCAGGTACCTACCATTGCGCACAGGTACTTGTACACTTTCTTTTTGTCACAGCACGCGGACTCACCATTGTGCGTGCAGGTGGGGCAGGGCAAGGAGCCAGTGGCGGTGCACAAGGCCGTGCTGCGCGTGGGCATCCCCAAGGGCGACGAGGGTGCGGGCTCCAAGGTGGGCACGCCCAGGGGCGATGTGGTGAAGACGCCGCGGGCAGCGGAGGCACTTGCTGCCAAGGTGGCCTCTCCCAAGGTGGCCACGCCTAAGAAGCCAGCTCCAGCCCCTGCCCCGGCAGCGGCATCTGTAAGTTCACAACAACCACTCTGCATCATGCTCGCAGCTCTCTTGACGACAATTCTCAGGCTGACATTGGTGTTTCATGTTGTGTTGCTTCTACGGTGTGTGCGGGGCTGTGCAGGATGACAACGACTTTGAGAAGCGCATCCGCCCGGAGATCCTGGCGCCGGGCAGCATTGGAGTGACGTTTGAGTCCATCGGCGCGCTGGAGAGCGTGAAGGAGTCGCTGAGGGAGCTGGTGCTCGTGCCGCTCAAGCACCCCGAGATCTTCAACAAGGGCGGCCTGCTTCAGGTGAGCGCTGAGCCTTCTCTCTGCTTCTTCACTACTTTCAGCATCACTTGCGGTTTTC